AACCACAATTATTAAACACATTAATGGACCGAGATACGACTGAAACAATTTCCCTTTCGACTAATCATATCATGAAAATCGCAAGTTACTCAAGCACATGTCACTCACTCTGTCAATGGTGGGGAATATTTCGCCCGCTGCAGTAACAGCAAAGTTGAAATGATCGTATTGCTGGAAAGCCTGACCTATTGTTACTCCACCAGTGTAGAGTGAATGAATAACCAACATAATTTCCCCCGGATCTGAGTCACCTCGATTCAACATCAGAATTCCATAAAAGAACGTCACTGCAATCAGAATATAGATCGTTGCATCAGTTGAGCCCAACACTGAAATTGAATAATGCACAATAGATCGCATCCTACCAAGGAGACTCGGTGATAAATTCGACTTACCGAATCCCACAATTGTGGCTCGTTTAAGACCAACCTTTTCAGCTTCTTGAAGCTCCACCGAGTACCTCTTCGACTCTCTAGACTGACCTTCAAACATAAACACCGTTTTCACTGCCGACAAAACTTCTCCGGCAATCCCATTAGCTCGTGAATATGCTGCTCGCTCCTTGGCACTTAATTTTCGCACCACGAATCCAATCGCTGCAAAAGATATGGCGACAAGAGGAAAGAATGCAGCGGCAACAAGAGATAACTCCCAGTTGTAAATAAAGCTCATCACAGCGCCACCCAGAAAAACGGATATATGTTGGACAAAAAGACCAGCCTTCTCACCTATCCCAATTTCGATCTTATCTGTTCCTTCGATCAATCGAGTTATCAAAGTGCCAACGTTACACGAGTCAAACCAAGCTGCATCTTGTCGCATAATGCTCTTTAAAATAGTGACTTCAAAAAATAAATCTTACCGAAAAATATAAACGACGAATTTGTTTGAGTTGTCGACGAGCACAATACTGGAGGCAGAACATTTGAGCATAAGCAACAACAAATGTCGCCGCTCCAAGAATAGCCATTCTTTGACAAAGAATTGCAATTGAATTTGATTGAAATCCAGTAAAATCATTGATTATATCAGCATAGATTAGAAAGGATACTGGTATTGAAACGCCAACAACCGCACTCAATATTAATCCAAGAACAAACAAAAATATCTCCAATTTTGATGCATATTTTAAGAGTTGAAAGTAGTGGACGGGAGTAATAACCTCTTCTCTAAAAGCTAATTACTGCAAAAAATAGCACATTTACTGTTCTACACCGATAAAACTCTCAGACGAAAGACTCCCCTTCATTACCTAAGTGGAAGACGGAATGTGCGAACGCAAAGGTCGTTTGTATAAATTGAAGTGATACGAATTAACAAATGTCAAAATTTGACTTTATTAATCATTCAAACAATTTTACTATGACACAAACAGTTAATTCTATTTAATCGTACGTATTGAAATGCGATAATTGTTGTTAATTTCGTAGTTTAAAATTTATTTCTGATGTCTTTATGAAGTTATTCGAATTCTTTAATTCCCATTTATTTTCTTGGATGAAGTGGCTAAATTTGTATGTATTCCCCCTTTTAATACTTGAATTAAGCTGTTCAATTCTTCGCATACAGCTTCAAAAAATAAGTTTGTCGAGATTCTTGAATTCTATCTATTATTAGCAAACACTATTTAATGCCCTAATTATCTTCAGCCTGAACTGGTAATAAATTAATAACAAAATTATATAAATTTTAAGATATAAGTAATTAATTTTCAACTAGCATCATTTATGTCTTCCTTGCTCTTATCAACACGATATATTAGATAAAGCGAACATTTTTAATTATATATTCTGACTATTATATCTAAGCAACAATAGCCCAATTAATGTTATTTTCGCCTTCTAAATTCTTTGTTTTCTGAAATACCTCTATATATTGCAAGTATTTGCTCTGTGTGTTGTTTTAAAATCGTTGTACCTATGATTAAAACGGGTAAGAATACGATGCTCATCTTTTATTATCTCAATTATATGAATAGCCTAATTGATCCATTCTTCTACTTTAACTTGTAGATTCCCATTCCCCCGTCACTCCTGTACACATCATTCATTTTATTTGGCTGCCTTTTATTAGAACTGTTGGTTCACTGAAAACCCATGTTCGGTGTGCAAATAGGTTTTTTACTATATTGTTGAAGAGAATTTGCTTGTTTGATCTACTTTAAATTCCTCTAATGATAATGAACATATGGGATAACATCATTTCAGGTTTTAAAAAACTCTCCATCTTCTTAATGCTTTGATTGCTAGGCACGTTTCACGTGGAGAAAAACATTGTATTATCATGATTTGCTATTTGGTTTAGCCCTTGGTTGGCTTATGTGCGACAACATTCGGAGTTTGTCCATTTAATCGAGCCGAATTCTTGGTTACGCCTCTTTAAAGCTTTTTGTATCTTATAGGCTTGAATTAGTGCGAGACTTGCAACAAACTTCTATGCATAATAGAGCTCACTCCAATTCCCACTAAATGGAGTATAATAACATAGCTTCGGTAAAATACATATCTAAGATAAGGTCTCTGGTAGTAGGTAGAAAGAACTTGTTTGTGTTGGTGTCATTCTTGACAAAATTATAATTAAGCAAAACCAGGAGCGTAATTGGAATAATCCTTTGTAGAGTGCCCTTGCTTGTGCCCTTCAACACATTTGCTTTTCTACAAAATCAGATCTATGTAGGAGCATCACATTTTGGCATCTTGAAACTAATGACTTCTAATTGCGTGGAGCGATTGAAAGCTCATAAAATGAAGTCCAACGAATGATGATAGTAGGGAATCGAGATCAAGGCGCTAAAATCAACGTCGAAACATCGTTTGTTTTTTTGGAATTTGGGTTTAACAGTGTTTACTTTCCATTAGAAAGCGCCCACCCAGAATGCTCATTGCTTGTCTGTCCTGTCGGTTCAGCTCAACTTTCTCCCAAAAGTTGAGGGGACAAGAAAAATTAAAAATGGAGATAAGAGAGGTCTGAATGATGTGTTCAGTCAAAAGAACAAAATGCGATTTTCCGACCTTCATTTATCTCGAAATGATAGACTCCCCTTCCTTATTCCATTAAGTTGCAACTTAAACAATAAACACAAAGCGTGATCCAATCGAAAGCCTAGATGCTGAAGGCTTAAGTGGCAGCCTCTACATGGGAGCAACACATCCAGACAGTGCTCTCTATGGTCCAGTTATGGGTTCTCTCTCTACCTTCTCCAGCCTCAGTAGCCCATCAACACGCAGCGAAAATCTTCATCATCTTCAAAGCCTTCTCTCCACTCGTGGAAATGGACGCAATCCCACAGAAACACTTTCCGAATTCTTTGTTGTTCGCTCACCAAATGAGACGCCACTCACAGACATCAGAACTCGTCTTCAGAACTTTTCTACCCAATTCACGACTGCCTACGTGGACTCGGGTTGTGGGGCCACAACGGAGGCGGCGGGTAATCGAACTAATCTGGCTGAGCAACTGTACTATTACGCACTGGAAGCTATTCTAACTGACGAGAAGAACCAGCATGGGGGCAATCCTCAGGCGAGTTCTGAGATCGTTCGCTCAGAGAAATTCCACCGTGCACTCTGTGCCTGTTGTTTGGAGGTGGTTATTGCCAATTGTCAAGAGGAGGACGAGTCACGACGATTCCCCTGGATTCTGGAGGCCTTGCAAGTAGACGCGATTCTTTTCTACAAGGTGGTTGAGGTGTTTGTGAAGAATGTGGAGTTGCCGAGAGAGATGGTGAAGTATTTGAATAGAATTGTGGAGGATATATTGGGCGAGTATGCTTGGAGGAGTAATTCTCCAATCTGGAGTACACTCAGTACTCCTGGATCAAGAGGTTCTGGTGTTCCAAGTGTGGAAGAAATTTTCCCTCCAGAGAAACTTGAAGAGGTGAGTGGTTTTGTTTGAGTACTCTCACTTGGGTGCCTAATAAGTGAGCTTCTTATGTGGAACCCAGAACAATGAACATGACAGGAGGGTGCAAGTTTCCTGAATGTGTTGTCCCATTCTAGGTCATTTAAATGTTGGTGCGCTTGAATTTACTTTAAAATTTGTACATTTAGACTCGAAATAAGTAAAGTTGTGACTTGGTAGAAGCTAAACTACAGAAAGAGAAGTTTGTTTTCTATTCCGTGTGATAACAATGGGTCCCTTGTGGCACCTCACTGTTTGCACATGCTTTTCTGTGAGTTTTCGGTTAATTTTAATTATTACAAGTTAGGATGTCGCTCCATCATTGCCACTGTCATAATTTATGCGGATGAATTAGATTTTATCTGATATATGAAAGCATTTGTCGGTAAATATTCATGCTGTTTGGCCGTATTGAGAAGCCAGAAACCTTTGTGCCTCTGAAAAGAGTTCCCAGTGAATGCATTTCTACTATCGACCTGTGAACAGATGGGTGGTGTAATAGATGGGATATTTTAGGAGTGGTAGTTCCCCTTCTCTTCTTTTTTCAGCATGGTAATCCTTTCCGATTCCCACGTCGTGAGTTACTGACAACCTCAGTTCCTGCCAAAGCTACCAGTCAGTCAGGAGGAATAGTCTCTATCACTCCTTCGAAGAAGATTCGTTTGGCTGGCCCTGGTGGAACAATCAAATCGGCCACCATCCAAACTCACCACCAAGACGAATCAGCTCGTGCTGCTGCAAGTCTTATTGCAGCTTCCGAGTCGGAGCAGAAATTTCCCACAAGTGAAGAAGCATCAGGAGATAATGATCTAGAACATCGCTGGTAAGTTTCCACCTCTTTGTACTCTCTCCATCTACTGGAGTGGGTTTATGAGTGGGGTGTTTTTTTTCTCTTCAGGTCTGGAAGTGCGTCGGTTGCAGCGAACCCACCGCTTATACGCCGTGATGCGACTGGCATATTCTTCCGTCATGTCTACCACCTGGCTGCCTCGAGACTTCGTGCTGTTTGTGAGAGAGTTCAGCCACCTATCAACACTGGTGCAGCTTCAACTGGAACCCCTGGTAATTCTGCAAGTGGTTCTCTCCTCTCCAAGGCGTGGACCACTTTCGAGCATGTTCTAGTGAACGAGACAGATATGCTGAAAGACCGTCTACTTGACCAAATTCTGCTCTGTTGTCTCTATGGTGTGGCTAAGGCATGTGGCACTGTAAATTTGAGTCTGGTGGAAATTGTCCAGGCCTACAGATTGCAACCACAGGCTTGTCGGGACACCTATCGGCATGTTCTAATCTCACGAATTAATACGACTGATGGCGATAATGTGCCGATAATTGAAGAGGAGAGGGCGGATTTGGCGAGGTTCTATAATTACATTTTCCTTGGTCGAGTGGAGTCTTATTTGACGCGATTTCTGGGTGCGTCAATGACAGATACCAAGGTTCATCAGCATGCAACATCTGCACCTTTGACACCAATTCCAATTCCTCCCATCTCGAGTTCGAATTCGGGAAATAGTGCGGTGATGTCTGGAGACGAAGAATAAACTTGATATTAGAAGCATCCTCGTACGCACTCTTGTAACCCGTCTTCCAATTTGAGGTGGAACCGAAATAGAAGTTTGCATTTTAGGAACATACTTCATCACGATAATGACTTGAACAAATAAGGATTCAGATTATTCCCATCTACTCAGCAGATTTCAGACTTTTAGGGCATTGAAAAGAGTCAATTTAATAACAGCAAAGCTTGTTAATATGAGTTGAAAGAGAACATAGATGTAAAATTTCGGAAAAGTCTTCGTCAATTGCAAATCATTGCTGCACGCTGATGTTGAGTAGAACATGTGTCTCTTCTTTCGAATTATGTCTTTAAATGTATCAATGCCGTTTGACATCTTGTGGAATTTAAATCAAGCGCCTTTACTCTATCTAAACCAATTTTCTATGGAACTGAAAAATAGTTACCAGGCAGTTGCATTTAACCTCATTATTTGCTTAAAATGATCCAATTAGTCTGTTTTCATGGTGGTCTAAAGATAGTGAGATTTTGACCAACTCTTGTAAAATCACGATCTGTTTCTTCAATTCCATTCACGAACCAGAATTTTAATTCGACAATTAGGTGAAGCTGTTTAATGGACTTCATTTACTTTGACTATTAAGTGCCAAGGAGCAGTTAAATCACTGTGTGATCAAAACATTGATATTCTTTTCCAATTATTCAATGTAGTTTTCAGGTGGTCCTCAATAAAAAGCCCGAATCCAATAATTGACAATTCTCCGTTCAAAATGCCAAAAGTTGATGACGTTGGATGATAGGAATTAAGATTCATAATCGTGTTCGCTTGGGGATCGATCGGCAGAGGTATCATTGACGAGGAATTTGACTCGGTCAATTAGACTGCTAGAGAATAATAATGACAAGAATTGAGGTATTACAGGATTTACAATATGAAATTGTCTCTCCAAAATTTTATGTAATATCTCATAAGAGGTCATGTGAGAATAATTTTTATTCTAATTTTAAAATTTAAATGAAAATTTCGTCTATCAGTGAAGGCCACATAATCCATATAACTTTATAAGCGATATTGAATTGAATTAGGCTCGATCTATTGTTTTCGGCTATGTATTGTGACCCCTATCTATTGGTTTGGACATATTATCAACTCCTAAATCTACACTCTTTATAATAATATGCATACATATGCACAAATCTAACTGCGATTTGAGAATGAGTTCCGCATGTTAAATATATATATATATATATATATATATCAAATGGCAGGCGTCTTGATGGTTATCATTAGCCCTTTAGTTGACTTCAGGCTTAACAGAGGGGAAGGAACATCAAAGTGGAAAAAAAGTCGAGAGGGGGGGGGGACAGAAGAATGCTTCAAAGACGAAGGTAGAAAAAAGGTGAGGTGAGTACTGTGGAAGTAGTCGAATATGGCAAACAGTGGTTAATTATAATAATATGCAAATTATTGATAGTTATTGGGCGAATTTAAAATTGAAATATTCATAAGAGTTGTTAAAACAAATTCACTTGTCAAAACAGATATGCTTTGTCAAAGGTCAGGGCAAAAATTAATTGTTGAAGAAGTATGAAAGAGGGAATAATGGACAAAATTAACTGCTTCAAGTAAAGTACCATATGAGAAGAAAGAAAGCATCTACCTCAAATAAAGGACCATATGAGGACTTGGGTACTAATAATTGTGCGATTGAGTGTGGAAAAAATTTATTTCATACATCAGATTTAATGATAAATATAAAATGTTAACACATAGAGTAATTGACGAGGAATAAGATGTAAATGAAATAAAGTTAAATATTCAGGTAATAATAAATGCTATCTAAAATGTTTGACACACTGAATATATAATTTCGTTAATTCGTACCGATTAAATTTATATAAATGACCTTAGCGTTCGCACATTCCGTTTTACTCTTAGATAATGAAGCGGAGTAGTTCACGTGAAGGCTCTCACAGTGATGAACAGTAAATGTGCTATTTTGTGATATGAATATTTTTAGAGAAGAAGTTATTACTCCAGTACACTACTTTCAACTCTTAAAATATGCCTCGAGGCTGGAAAAAGTTTTATTTGCCCTTGGAATTATCTTAAGTGCAGTGGTTGGTCTATCACTACCAATTACTTTTCTTTTATATGCTGATATAGTCAATTATTTTACTGGATTTGGTGAGGTCTCATTTACCACCATGTGCCAAAGACTAGCTATACTTGGAGTTGCGACATTTGTTGTTGCTTATGCTCAAATGTTCTGCCTCC